AAAAAAATATTTAAAATCTATATTTTTTTAATATTATTTTTGTTATATTTTTCATTAGTTTTACCGAAAAAAAACTTGATTCAATAAAATAACATTTCCAAAGAAATAAATCCTTCGAATTTGCCTGTTCAGTCTCTGTTTGAATGTGAAGGGTTACATGAAAGAAGCTCGCCTGGCCCTCTCTGCGATTCACAGAGGGCCCGCTATAGTAACTGAACGAGAGAGTAATGTCAAATGACAGTACAATTGACCAATCATATCTTCCCTCTAAATGGGTGGGTTTTATTATCGCGGACTTTATGACAAGTTCCGCCCGCTGTGAAACTTTTCTTGTTTCCATAGCAACAACAACTTCCTGTCAACAGCGTGAACTCGCCTTCAAAATAAAAGCATGCCAAATTACACTTAAGACATACAACTGCAACGAAAGTAACAAACACAATGCAATATCATTTTCAATGTCAAAGAACACAAATTGGGTTCACAGGTGTTGTTTTGTGTGGTAGAGGGTCGCTGTCATTGATGCGTTTTGCACCCTGGGCCGTTGTTTTGATATTCCGCTGAAGTATACGCTGTGACGTAATAACTATTTTCTTTTCTTTTTTTCGAGGGAAGGGGTGGGGGTCAGAGGGCCTAGGTATAAAGCTCACGGCTCGCCACTGTGACTTAGTAAAGCTGTTAAATCATTAAACACAGGACGACCCCCCCGATAAGACCCCCAGATATCCCTATTTCTCCGACAACTGAGAAGTCCTTTTGCTTGTTTTGGTGCACGACGCCGTTTTCAAATGGATTCCCAAAGCGATGGACAGCAGAATATTCCCAGCTACTTCTTTGCGATTATGCCATAGCATGAAGCCCATTACTTATGCAGTTTTGACAGAAGTGAGATGACAAGATAGTCTGCACATAACCAATAGATGTATACATATTTATAGCCTGTTTGACCTTCACTACTCAAAAGAATAAAGGGAAAACTAGTAAGGAATCTCATTAGGAGTCTGCAGACAGCGGCTCTGTGAGTCTTCTTCTACTGTTAGCATGTTAGAAGTAGAAGTAGACGTACATTATTAATCAGGAACAAGGAGACTTTGCCGGTTGTGTTTTACTTACATCTTTACATACCTTGTGACTTTAATCAATTAAACAGTAAATGCATTAGCCTGTTAAGCCTGTTAAGCCTGTTAAGCCCCAAAGCCCCCGTCGGCGGGTCTTTTTTTTTTTCACAAATACATTTTTTATTAATTTTTTTACTTTAAATTTTTTTTCTTTGGATGGAATGAATACCTATGGTGATAATTCAATGTAATACATCATTTTTATAGTCTGGTACCTGAAAAAGGTCAAATGGCACTGATGGAACCAGATGTACCCAAATGTGCCGAAAGCTTATTCCGCCTGGAACTTTCTTTTGGCTAAACCTCTCTAAAAAGGTCAGATTTAACTTGTTTTGCCTCAATCTTGATACAGGGTACTTATTATATGTTATAGTTTGGATTCCTAAAGCTTTTAGTCTACCATCCCATCATCCAAGGGTGGTTTTCACTATAAGTAATGTTTTTTCTTTAGGCGGAGGTAAGAATTTACCTTTTTTTACTATGTTCCATCTGAATTTACTCTGACTGAGACAAATCTATATTGATTCTGACACTTCTACATCCAACTCACAGATGTAACCTTGCTTTGATAAAATAAATTATTCATATAACCCTTTTAGAAGTGAAGTTGTAGTCATTTGTTTTTGGGCATGTCATTTTCGAGCCTGAAACCTGAAAAACAGGCTCGGGGCTTAACAGGTTAAGAGACTTACAATATGTACATTTAGAAATAAGGGTTTCAAAAAGAGTTCTTCCTGAAGGGCTGAGGTTCTGCTCTACAGTCGGCGTGCCTCAATATGAATCATTTGGGGACATAGGGTTAGGGTTAGCTTTTCTTCGTTACATCAGAGGACGGAGAAAAGGGTTTATCAACCCTTTTGTTGGGAAAGGATTTTTCAATGGTTTTTGTAAGACGTTTGGTTATTCAGAAGAAACCATTTCCTCAAAAAAGAGTTCTTCAAGGTTTGTTCTCAGACAAAAAATAACTCTTTTAATAAAAATAACCTTTATTGGAAAGAAAGAGTAAAACAAGGTCATTAGTTGTTGAAATAAACTACACTGCAATCCACTTGTTGCTGAGAGCTCATTGGGGGGCAAGAGATAAGGTCAGGAGATCCCTAAAGTCCTTTAAATACGTAGCCTGGTAACCATACATGTATTTACATCATGTAGCAGCCATCCATCAGAGAGTTAGATATTTCAGTCTGCTCCAAAGAGCTCCAATTTGAGATCAATAAAGTACATCTTATCTTATCTTACCGACAAACTGAGCAGGCCACAATTATTATTATTACTCCTATCTTTCGACATTAGCTCTTCTACAAATCATCCACACTTTAGCAAAACTGCTCAATATCTGTTGGCCTTTTTCAAATCTTGCCGAAACACCTCGGTTGCATTGAGAGATATCATTATCTTGCATTATTCCCAATCATTTCTAACTACTATAGGAAATAAATGCATCTTAAAACTGATGAAAGGTTCCCTCTTCACAGTGAGAGTAATCCCATTCATTAAGACACAACGCATTGCCATCCCTAAAGCAGTATTGAAACGAAATCACTGCATTGGCTTTTTACATTTCTGCCACAGCATAGAGGACTGGAGGGGATGCGGAGAAATAAATAAAAAGTTACAACCTGACGTCACGCGAACACACTTAGCGCTGTGCAGTAACTTTGTGTAAATTGGACGATATCTAATTACACCTGTGGCTTGGGGGTAAATGCTCGTTAAGCAAATGGAGACTCAGTGGGTCGATCCCCTTAGTCCCTACAGTCCATAAGACACTGAAACCCATATACTCCCGTAGCCATGGCTTTGAAGAGATAATAGCTACATTCTGATAGTGCTATATTCTTCTGTGCAGTCTAAAACATATGTATAATTGTGTTAGAGCATATTGGTTATGTGCAGACCTGATTTGTATTCCTATCGAGTCATCCTATTTCTGTCGATCCCCTAGCCCCTACAGTCTATTTTTATTGATTGATTATATTCTCGTGTTGACTTTTGTTTTTGTCTTGTGCACGGCAACCTGGAGAGCCTTGAAAGACGCCTTTATGAATAAAATGCATTATTATTATTATAAGACGTACTGAAACCCATATTGCTCCCGTAGTCATGGCCAACTTTAAAGAGATATTAGCTCAATGAAATGCAGTGTAATATGTCTGCAGACTCTTATCTTATCCTATTGAGAATCCTTACTAGTTTCTGATAGTGATATATTCTTCTGTGCAGTTTAAAATATATATATAATTGTGTTGGAGTATATTGGTTATGTGGTTATCTTATTTCTGTCAAAACTCCAGGAGTCTAGCCGACCCATGCTGCTATCGGGGAATCAATTGTAATATATCTGAGGTTTGAAATCTCATACCACAATAATTGGAAATACTTATGGGGGATTTATACTTTCTCTCAGTGGATAAGACGTGTTTTTCTCAAGATAAAATCCTCAGGACTGGTGACAATAGATGTTGGATATGTATTTATTTGCATCGTCCTAAAGGCAAACCATATTTCGACCCATATGCACCTATTGAGGCATGGTCCAATACGTTTATATATAGGTACGTTTACATGAGTTGGAGTCAAGTATCTCCAATATGACATAACTTCAACAGTCCAAGTATCTCCGATATGAGGTGTCTTTGCAAACATGTATGTTATTGCAGGGGTTAATGACCTTCTCTACTAATCACTCCTCCATCTGGTCTCCACTCTGTATCTCCTAATACTGCAGACATGCCATTTAAATGTCACTTAGCGGTGCAACGAAGTACAAAGATAAGAGATGGCAGAGGAGAACTGTTTTTTTTACACATTGGTTTGCAATGAAGTGCATGAAAGACACTGGTAGGTTCTGGTTACATTTTGAACACAAATACCTGTACTTTCTACTTCTTACATTTTGAACACAAATACCTGTACTTTCTACTTCTTACATGTTGAACCCAAATACCTGTACTTTCTACTTCTTACATGTTGAACCAAGTACTTCTTACATGTTGAACACAAATACCTGTACTTTCTACTTCTTACATGTTGAACACAAATACCTGTACTTTCTACTTCTCACATTTCCCAAACAGGCTGGTTCCTTTAGTTTGAATGTGTGTTTGGTGGCGTGATCATTATTATTTAGAGTCATTGCGTGCCTATTGATTTGAACACGATCCGTGTATCCATCATTTCCTGGTCTTCTCTAAAGAAGAGGGACCAATGAAAACGTTGTCATGTTGCCGTTGTTCAGCATGGAAACATTCATTAGCTAACAATGACATTATTGTTCTATTAATATAAAGGGAGGTCAGGTACTCTTTAAAACAGCTGCTAGTTATGGGTACTTTTTACTGAAGTACATTTCAAAGCCCTCTTTACTTCTACTTGAGTTAAGAAGTTTAGTCAGTACTTCTACTTTCACCAGAGTATTTTTAAAACACGAGTATCTGTACTTCTACTTGAGTAAAGGGTGTGTGTACTTCTACTTGAGTACAGGATGTGTGTACTTCTACTTGAGTGCAGGATGTGTGTACTTCTACTTGAGTACAGGATGTGTGTACTTCTACTTGAGTACAGGATGTGTGTACTTCTACTTGAGTACAGGATGTGTGTACTTCTACTTGAGTACAGGATGTGTGTACTTCTACTTGAGTGCAGGGTGTGTGTACTTCTACTTGAGTACAGGATGTGTGTACTTCTACTTGAGTACAGGATGTGTGTACTTCTACTTGAGTGCAGGATGTGTGTACTTCTACTTGAGTACAGGATGTGTGTACTTCTACTTGAGTACAGGATGTGTGTACTTCTACTTGAGTACAGGATGTGTTTGCCCTCTCTGCTGAGGAGAGAGAGAAGTGTGATAAACAGTTTTGAAAGAAGGGAAGAGGAACTCACCGCTGCATTGGATGCTTCCTCTTCTCCTCACACCGTCAGATATCAGTGTTTTTTGATATCTTCCTGCTTCCCAGGGTTCATTGAGTTCTTCACTTTCTCAGAAGCGCTGATGAAGAACTTCTCCTCTGTTTCTCTGGAGGATTTCAAAGGGTCCGATTCTCCTCTGAGATCTCCAAAGGCCTGCCGGGCGTCTCCTGATGCGTGTTGCCCGTCTTTATATATCGCTGTGTGTGATGCCACTTCGCTGGGAGGCAGATGAGAGGAGGGTTTCTCTCTCTGGAGAACTGCCTGGCTACTGTTGCTACCCTCCAATGGAAAATGCTGCAGTGAGAAGTCTTCTGGGGTTGATTTGAAGCACCAGGTTCCCTTCAGTTTCCTTGAGTGTGTGTCTGAGGTATATCGTTTCCTGCCGGGTGTGTGTGAGGTTTTTCTGTGAAGAGTGTGTAGCTTCCTGTCTGGCAATAAGACTGTTTCCTGTATATCACCTGAGGTCGTTTACAGGTGAGGACGGGAACAATTCAGAGGTCGGAGGTCGTTGCTGGTGGTTGCATTGAAGAGAGCTTGAGAGGCAATACAGGTTTTCATGGTAACATCAGAGAGAGGTTTGTTTGTCTGTTTGTTTGTTTGTTTGTTTCCCGTCACCAGAGGTAGGCAGTAGGAGAAGAAATCCCTGAGGTAAAATGGAGAAAATGTTGCACGAAGAAACAAAAAGATTCTAAATTGCTTGCTTTCACTTTTTCTATTTCTGTGGGAGGTAGAAAAGCAGAAGAGCTCCTCTCTGATTGGCTGAGAGGAAGAGGATGAAGGGAGGTAAAGTAGTTTCAGTCTCTATGACCTCCTCTCTCGCTCTCTTTTTTAAATGCTGGTGGTTATCCCGTGTCCTTCTGGAATATTCTCTGCTCGGCTCTGCCTCTCAACATCTAAAGTGGTTCCTTCAGCGGCTCCACCTGCAGAGGAGAGAGAGGACACGGGTTAGAAATCTAGAAGTAGTCAAAACAAAAAAAGAGAATTTGTTGGTATTTTTCACAAAATCTAAAAAATTCAGACTTTTTCAAAAAATTCAGACTTTTTCAAAAAATTCAGACTTTTTCAAAAAATTCAGACTTTTTCAAAAGAATCTGACTTTTTCTAAAAAATCAGACTTTTTCTGAAAATTCAGACTTTTTCAAAAGAATCTGACTTTTTCTAAAAAATCAGACTTTTTCTGAAAATTCAGACTTTTTCTAAAAAATCAGACTTTTTCTAAAAAAATCAGACTTTTTCCAAAAAATCAGACTTTTTCTAAAAATTCAGACTTTTTCTAAAAAAATCAGACTTTTTCCAAAAAATCAGACTTTTTCTGAAAATTCAGACTTTTTCTAAAAAATCAGACTTTTTCTAAAAAAATCAGACTTTTTCCAAAAAATCAGACTTTTTCTAAAAAATCAGACCTTTTCTAAAAAAATCAGACTTTTTCCAAAAAATCAGACTTTTTCTAAAAATTCAGACTTTTTCTAAAAATCTCTAAAAAACTGGAATTTTTCTAAAAAACTGGAATTTTTCTAAAAAACTGGAATTTTTCTAAAAAACTGGACATTCACTGGTCAACGGCAGAGCATTTGGTCCAACTAGTTCCTGAACAGTGTCCTTCACATGCTGATATCCAAGAGAGGGAGTTACACAGTCACAAGATGGAGGAATAGAAAGCAGTATTCAATGTTTACTTCAGATTAGCTCCACGTCAGAAATGAGCATGCTTGTCATATGTCTATCTCCATAGAGGCTGAATCATCATGTTAATCACATAGCTATCATATGCCTCAAACAGTCCTGATGCTCTTCTAGGTAATCATACATCCTGTCATGTTCACAGCTCCAGTTGGGATACCTTTGTTATCATGTTACTCTCATGTTGGAAGAGGACATTCAGGATTTCCCGAACAGTTACTCACACAATCATTTAAGAACTCTTTCTACCAAAAAAATAAATAGATCATCTGGATGGAAAGGCTTCAGTCTCACAATGAAACCCCTGAAGAACCAGTGTTTGTGAACAATTTGACGTTTCTTTATTAAAACGTCTCTCATTATTTTAGTAGATTCTATGTCATGTGACCCAATGACTCCAATCCAATGGTGGTGAGTGCCAACATGTCGGATATTATATGAACTATTTGAGGAACCTACTGGGGTAAAAACCCACCAATCAACCAGAACAAAAGCAGCTTTTCAAACAAGTGGCGTAACTCTTCTATATCTTAACCCACATCGAGTTCCCCTTGATTGATCCCCTTTGTAACGACTGAATAATCCCTACAAAATAAATAGATGGATGTTTAAAAAACCAACCAAAAAGAAACACAGAGACATAATGCAATGCATAATGCAGGAGACTATGAAGAGTCCTCTTTCTAATACTCTGAGTCACGAGGGTTCCTCTCTTCTGTCCTCATGCACACATCATGCAGTAAATGGTAAAGCACTTATCACAAAGTACTCCTAATCATAGTTCAGAACATCTGTGCTGATGCTGCTCGGGTGACATCACACGAATACTAATGGAGACGCAATCTAACACACACACACACACACACACACACACACACACACACACACACACACACACACTCTCTTTGTGTGTCTCTTTCTCGTATGGACACACATGTATGTTCATGCACTGAACATCAGCAGGAGAGGACTCTTTAAAGTAGAGACACTACATACTGATATACACCTGAACATCAGCAGGAGAGGACTCTTTAAAGTAGAGACACTACATACTGATATACACCTGAACATCAGCAGGAGAGGACTCTTTAAAGTAGAGACACTACATACTGATATACACCTGAACATCAGCAGGAGAGGACTCTTTAAAGTAGAGACACTACATACTGATATACACCTGAACATCAGCAGGAGAGGACTCTTTAAAGTAGAGACACTACATACTGATATACACCTGAACATCAGCAGGAGAGGACTCTTTAAAGTAGAGACACTACATACTGATATACACCTGAACATCAGCAGGAGAGGACTCTTTAAAGTAGAGACACTACATACTGATATACACCTGAACATCAGCAGGAGAGGACTCTTTAAAGTAGAGACACTACATACTGATATAACACCTGAACATCAGCAGGAGAGGACTCTTTAAAGTAGAGACACTACATACTGATATACACCTGAACATCAGCAGGAGAGGACTCTTTAAAGTAGAGACACTACATACTGATATACACCTGAACATCAGCAGGAGAGGACTCTTTAAAGTAGAGACACTACATACTGATATACACCTGAACATCAGCAGGAGAGCACTCTTTAAAGTAGAGACACTACATACTGATATACACCTGAACATCAGCAGGAGAGGACTCTTTAAAGTATACGACACTACATACTGATATACACCTGAACATCAGCAGGAGAGGACTCTTTAAAGTAGAGACACTACATACTGATATACACCTGAACATCAGCAGGAGAGGACTCTTTAAAGTAGAGACACTACATACTGATATACACCTGAACATCAGCAGGAGAGGACTCTTTAAAGTAGAGACACTACATACTGATATACACCTGAACATCAGCAGGAGAGGACTCTTTTAAAGTAGAGACACTACATACTGATATACACCTGAACATCAGCAGGAGAGGACTCTTTAAAGTAGAGACACTACATACTGATATACACCTGAACATCAGCAGGAGAGCACTCTTAAAGTAGAGACACTACATACTGATATACACCTGAACATCAGCAGGAGAGGACTCTTTAAAGTATACGACACTACATACTGATATACACCTGAACATCAGCAGGAGAGGACTCTTTAAAGTAGAGACACTACCTACTGATATACACCTGAACATCAGCAGGAGAGGACTCTTTAAAGTAGAGACACTACATACTGATATACACCTGAACATCAGCAGGAGAGGACTCTTTAAAGTAGAGACACTACATACTGATATACACCTGAACATCAGCAGGAGAGGACTCTTTAAAGTAGAGACACTATATACTGATATACACCTGAACATCAGCTGGAGAGGACTCTTTAAAGTAGAGACACTACATACTGATATACACCTGAACATCAGCAGGAGAGGACTCTTTAAGTAGAGACACTACATACTGATATACACCTGAAACATCAGCAGGAGAGGACTCTTTAAAGTAGAGACACTACATACTGATATACACCTGAACATCAGCAGGAGAGGACTCTTTAAAGTAGAGACACTACATACTGATATACACCTGAACATCAGCAGGAGAGGACTCTTTAAAGTAGAGACACTACATACTGATATACACCTGAACATCAGCAGGAGAGGACTCTTTAAAGTAGAGACACTACATACTGATACACACTGAACATCAGCAGGAGAGGACTCTTTAAAGTAGAGACACTACATACTGATATACACCTGAATATCAGCAGGAGAGGACTCTTTAAAGTAGAGACACTACATACTGATATACACCTGAATATCAGCAGGAGAGGACTCTTTAAAGTAGAGACACTACATACTGATATACACCTGAACATCAGCAGGAGAGGACTCTTTAAAGGAGAGACACTACATACTGATATACACCTGAACATCAGCAGGAGAGGACTCTTTAAAGTAGAGACACTACATACTGATATACACCTGAATATCAGCAGGAGAGGACTCTTTAAAGTAGAGACACTACATACTGATATACACCTGAACATCAGCAGGAGAGGACTCTTTAAAGGAGAGACACTACATACTGATATACACCTGAACATCAGCCGGAGAGGACTCTTTAAAGTAGAGACACTACATACTGATACACACCTGAACATCAGCAGGAGAGGACTCTTTAAAGTAGAGACACTACATACTGATATACACCTGAACATCAGCAGGAGAGGACTCTTTAAAGTAGAGACACTACATACTGATATACACCTGAACATCAGCAGGAGAGGACTCTTTAAAGGAGAGACACTACATACTGATATACACCTGAACATCAGCCGGAGAGGACTCTTTAAAGTAGAGACACTACATACTGATACACACCTGAACATCAGCAGGAGAGGACTCTTTAAAGTAGAGACACTACATACTGATATACACCTGAACATCAGCAGGAGAGGACTCTTTAAAGTAGAGACACTACATACTGATATACACCTGAACATCAGCAGGAGAGGACTCTTTAAAGTAGAGACACTACATACTGATACACACCTGAACATCAGCAGGAGAGGACTCTTTAAAGTAGAGACACTACATACTGATATACACCTGAACATCAGCAGGAGAGGACTCTTTAAAGTAGAGACACTACATACTGATATTTTGAGTCTCTCTGTGGTGTTATTGTCATTGTGTCTTTGTGTGCATCATCTGTTCTAGTTGTGGTTATTTGTTATATGTTTCTGGTGGTTTTGCATCACTTTAGTTATTTTCTGTCTCTATGTTGTCAAATTCTAGTCGTATACTCTTGTTGTCTATGTGGTCATTTTATGTATCTACATTCTCGTTTTGTGTCTTATGGCGCGTTTCCACTACAGCGCGGAGCACGGTTTAAGAGGGCTGTGACGTCAGCGGCCCGTCTTTGGTTGCGTTTCCACTTGGCCTAGTACCGGCCGGCGGGTCCTAATTCACAGTTTTTCTGGCCTCATAAAATCGTGGGTCTAGGGCCAGAGACAACGAGGTTGAGTCGGGCTGAGTATGCTAAACTAGAGAGAGCATCGCTGGCAAGGGGGCTACAACTACAACAAGATGGACATATTTGACCGTGATTTAATTGTAATACATGTTTCTAAATGATGAAGTAACAACATACTGATACCGGTTAGTAAAAACCATGAATTAATGCTTTGACAAGTCTGCAGACAGACAGCAGGCGAAAAACCTTTTAAAATGCGTGTTTTCTAAATGGAGATTGGCTAAGCTAACGCAGTATATG